GGGTTTGAACCACCAGCCTTCTGGTTAGCAGTCAAGTGCCTGAGCCACTATGCTACCAGAGCTCCTATACTCTGTTCTATATTGAGTCATTATGAGTCAGACTTGTTGCCAACACTTTTTTTTTTCGTTGTCTTCTTTGGACCTCAATTTCTTCTTCTGAGGACCATGGTGGTTCCAGTTCTGTGATTACAGATGACAAAGCATAAACACTCTATGGGGCAGACCTGGTAATAACAACGTGTTCTTGGATGTCGACTGCTATTGTTGTTGTGATTGTTATGTGCTGTCAAGTCGGACCTGACTCATAGTGACGCCTCCTTGGGTCTTCCAAGTGGTATCACTACGGAAGTAGATTGCCCACTAATCAGTTCCAACTCATAGGGATTGCATGTCACAGAGTAGAAGTGCCCCATAGGGTTTTCTTGGCTGTAATCTTTACAGAAGCAGATTGGCAGGTCTTTTTCATGGGGAGCCACTGGGTAAGTTCAACAACATACAACCTATTAGGCCCTGGTCAGGCCAGTTGATCAGTAACCAGGAGTGGGTTGATGCTGCAGAAATAGGCTGTCTGGAGACTCCGTCTCCAGGCTGGAGTTCATGAAAAAGCCATTGCTCCTCCCAATGACAGTGTCTCACTTTGACTGTGTCTGGTTTTAGAGAAACCCAGGAAGCCATTAGCTTGGGATCCTCCCCCCAACACACACACACACACCAAGGCACTTGACCCTTGCTGAGATTTGTGCAGGAGTGATCTGACAGCCATCTGCAGCTTGCTAGTCTTCCAGAGGCCCCGAATCTCCACTGTTCTGATCTGAGGCTGCAGCCATGAAATGCCTGGCTGAGAGTGGTGTCATTTTCCAGAAGGAATTGAGACTGGGGCACTGTATCCACAGCTGCTGTGGATCATGGTACAGGGTGTGACTTACAACTGACTTACAACTTGGAGCTCCTTGCTGGGGGTGGGATCTGATGTGGCCATTCCCACCATGGCCCCTTGCCCTATGATGTTTATGTTTTTAGGTGAAGTTAGAGGGCCCAAGAGTGGCAGGGTCGAGGGCTGGAGCCTAGCTCTCCGATGGAGATCCAGTGGCTAGGCCCAGCCTAGAGTTGGAGCTCCCTTCCTTGCCCCATGTCAAATGTCAAAGCTGGGAGTAACTGCTATACCCTCTATCTGGTAAGGTTTGGACCCTAGCCACGTTCACCTCCCCAACCTTAAATCATTTCAGCTGACCCATGAACACTAGGTTTTGCAAGACCAAGTAAACCGTGTTTGTGAGGCCAAACCTCATGCACCTGCTCAGCAAGGGTCAGAAAGTAAACAAAAGCAACATGTGAGAGCTTGGCCACCAAGTCCCCTCATCCTGCTATAAGATTATCCTATTAGAAAAGTGGGAGCCATGATGATTGAGTGGTAGAATTCTCACCTTCCATACAGGAAACCTCAGTCCAATGCCCAGCCAGTGCACCTGATGCAGTTACTACCCATCCATCAGTGGAGGTTTCTGTGTTGTTATGAAGCTTAACAGGCTTCAGTGGAGCTTCCAGACTATGATGGCCTAGGAAGAAAAAGCCTGGTGATCTACTTCCAAAAAATCAGCCAATGAAAACCCTTGGATTGCAGTGGTACAATCCATAAACTGATTGTGGGGTTAGTGCAGGATCAGGCAGCCTTTGGCTTTGTTGTGCATGGGGTCACCATGAGTCAGGGGCTGACTTGATGGTAGTTAACATAATTACAAAAGTAGTAGGTGCTCATGTTTATAAAAAGATCCAAACTGTTTCAGAAAGGTGTAGAGTAAAAGAACTCTAGAAGCAGGGCCCCCAGCCTGTACCCAGCTAGGGCAGCTCTCAGCTGTGTGGGGTCCCAGGGAGTACAGGGCATGCTTGGGCCTGTGCAGGGACAGTGAGGCCTGGAGACAGCAGATGAAGTGAGCTCCAAGCAGAGAATCCCTCCTCTCTCTTCCCCGGCTCTTTGTGCACTAAAGTATTATTTTTTATTCTCTCAGGGTTCTGCCTTGGTGACTCTATCCTAGGCCCTGCCAGGCTGTCTGAAGTCCTGGGTCCCAGACTGTGCAGGATAGCGAGGCCTTGTGGGAGAAGACACTGTTTAAGGGCCTGGCCATGTCACCTCTGACAGGAAGTAGAAGGGCTGATGACAGGAAGTAGAAGGGCTGATGCCAGGAAGGTACAGACAAGGAACACTCTCCCCTTCCCACTTCTGCTCCCCTGTGGCAATCAGGATCCCACTCCTGGGACCCACCCTCCCTGGGCCCTGGGGACCCCTCTCTGCTTAGACTCCACTCATTCATACTGTGACCCACCTCCCACACACCCTTTCCTCCTCCAGATCCCATGATCACAGGGCCCCATGGCATGGGCACTCACTTGGGGGTCCTGGCTCCTGGTGGGGAGAGCAGGGGGCAAGGACACACTGAGGCATGAGATGGCACTCCCAACCTCATGGTGGTTCTGCTGAGGCTGGGACCCCCAGGGGGAAAAGCCAAGAAAAGGGGCTCCTCTGCACTTGTGGCCCATTGACACCCACCTCTCAGGGTTATAAGAGTCCCGGAGGCAATGCTCAGTTACTGTCCCCACTCCTACCCCTGGAACCCACCTGTCACCTAGCCCTGAGCACACCTGGATTGACAGAGACTGGGGCAATGCTGAGTCATAGGCCTTTATTGGAGAGTCTGGATGTGGGGACAGTGGGCAGAGGGGGCTCAGAGGCCACATGGCAGCCAGCTGGGCCCCCAAGGCAGCAGTTTCCAAGGCACCAGGGCAGCCACGAGGTGTGAGTCCTGAGCAGTGGCAGCTGTGTCTCCCAGGGCAGGATGGGCCAAGGATGCAACCCTGGTGTAGCCACTGCCTCTGGGCTGCACCTGCCAGCTTGTCAGTTCCTCTTGTGGGACTTGGTGGCTTTCTGCCGGTAAATCTCTGCCGTGAAGGGCCTATGTAGGGACAGAGGGTGAGAAGAGAGGCCATCAATCAGTGCACCCAAGCACAGAGCAGACAACCCTCTCCCACAAGAGCCAGTTGATGGGTTGGGGGAGGGCTCCAGGGCTTCAGAGACCAGAAGGGGGACCTGAAAGGGGCTGAGAGGAGATAAAAGGGGATGGAAATGGGCAGAGGAATGGGAAGGGGCTGGAGGGGCCAGGAGAGTCCACAGCAGCGTGGTATCCCAGGGCAGGGGCTGCCTGACTGTGGGCAGCCTGACCATGGGCAGCATCATGGTACCTGATCATCTGCCCTCTTTGGGGTCGAGGAAGCTGAGTACCATGCCCTGGCCTCCAGGCCCCTGCTGTGCCACCATCTGCCACTCTGGTCTGTGCCCCTGGCATGGGCAGAAACACCCGGGACACTGAGAATGGCCTGAACCACCCAGGACGCTGAAAATGGCCCATTCTGCCCCCAACCAGTGATGGCCACTCACTCCTCGTAAAGGACAGCAACCACGTAGACGAGGCCCACAACAACAGTCAGCAGCAGGCCGGAGGGACTGGCATGCCTGTGGGAGACATGGGTCTGGTGGTCAGGGGCCATGGCCAGGATGTCCCATTATCCCCACCGATCCAGCTAGGCTCCATGAAGGGGTGTCCATGGCCCCATGTTTGGGGCATTCTGATTTCTAACTCAGAACCAGGGACACTGCCCTACCCTCCAGCTTAGGGGGTAAAGTGGGGTGGGGTGGGGTGGGCCTGGACAAAGAGAACCTCAAATAGGCCCAGATGCCTGGGCACAGGGCTCAGGGTCTCCAGGACGCCCAGTGGGATGGCAAGGCGGCAGGGCATCTTGTGGGTTCTTTAGACAGTGGCCTAGTTCCACAGTATGAAGGGCTCAAGTGGCTTGTTGGGGATGGGCATTGAGAAGCCCGGCCTCCATTTATTTCTGCTGGGACCTCTGTGGGTCACGATACCCAAATCAGTGGGGAGGAGGGGACAGCAGGCCACTGGGCACAAATGGAACCCTTCCTGCCCACTATGGCTGAGAACTGCTTCCTGGGTGCTCTGGTGTGGATGACCACGCACTGTGGGGGGCTGGGCCACCATGTTCCCCCACCCTAGGGCAAGATGACACAGAGCCCAGGCCCAAGGCCCACCCAAACACTGATCGTCTGTCTTCTGGGAGCCCCAGGAGAGGCAGGATGATGCAAAAACAGCAAGCCCCAGCCTGGTCCCTGGCACATTCCATACACCACGTGCACTTTCTATCTGGCCATCCACCCGTTGGCTCAGGAACTTCTAGAAGGCGGGAGTCTCAGCTGAATATGATCTGCCCTCCCCAACCTTGCTCACTGGTCCTGTGTGTTTTGTAGAGAGGCCCTCCCTTTCTCCACCACCAGCCCAGATAGAAGCAGAGCCTTACTGAGGAACGGAAACTCTTCTCTTTCCCAAATACAGTCTTGCTTGACCTCATAACAACCCTATGAGGAAATGATCATCCCCACACTGCAGACGAGGAAACTAAGGCCCGGAGGAGCCCACATGCAGAGCCCAGGCCTGGCCCAGAGCCTAGGGTGGTGTCTGCACAGCAGAATTGGACCCGATGCTGGTCCCGTGGGAGGGGTGATTCACTCTGCTAGAGGTTGAGCAGGTAAAGGCCTGGGGAGGGCAAGGTACCAGAAGCCCTGCCTCCAGGACCCCCACCTGGGTGCCCAGGTCCTGGAAGCCACAGTAGAAGCCTCCAGTAGGCTGGAACAGATGGCATGCCTCAGCATGCCACATCACATGGTGGTATATTCCCAGAGAGCCTGCCACATGCCCCTAAGGGCTCTGGCCTGGCACCCTGTGCCCAGGACAACCCCTCACTCATCCACCTGCAATTCTTGAGCACAGGCACTCTAGACAGAAAGGACATGTGTCGGTACTGTCCTCAGTGCCCTGGTGACTGTAGGAAAGTGGGGGCTGCAGAACAGAGGCAGTGCCCAACTGGAGATAGCAGGGGCAGATTCTGGGTGGGCTGAGCACGTGCTTGGCATAGAGCAGGAGCTCGCACATGGGTGTGTCGGAGAACTGTGGCAGCATGGGGGAAACATGCAAGAGGGCTGTTTCCATCTTGCTCATCTGTCAGACTCAGAGTTGGGGTTCTCTGAAAAGTCTAGAGGTGAGGAGTCTCCACTCAGAGCCCACTGCCCAAACCCAGGCAGCAAAGAGGGAGGGAGAGAAAGAGGCAGTTCACAGTAAAACTGCAAAGGGCTGGGGACTATGGGGATGTGAAGCAGAGGAGAAAGAGAGCATCTTATCACTGACATTCCATTTGAGATTCATTCCTCTGACGTCCTCTAAACTTTTTGATCTCTGGGTGTACCTGCAACATTCTGTTGTTGTTACATGCCATTGAATCTGTTCCAATTCATAGCAACCCTATGAACAACAAAATGAAACACTGCCCAGTCCTGTGTCAGTCTCACAATCCCTGCAATACCTGTAAAATTCTAGGCAAGTGGTTTTCAAATGCTAAGTAACAGCAGAACATTTTCTAGAAACAAAATTCTCTATAGAAAGTGGTGGTGCAAATGGTTAACTCTTGGCTGCTAACCAAAAGGTTGGAAGATCTGCCTTCCAAAACCAAAATCAGCCGTTGAAAACACTATGGAGCCAGTTCTAATCTGACAGATGTGGGGATGCCATGAGTTGGAGCTGACTTGATGACAACTGCTCTGGGTGGAAGGTGGTGTGTGTGGCTGGATGGGGAGGGTTTGGCTGGAAGCCTGGCACCTGCAGCTCTCCCTAGGCCATCTCCTTGACTGTGGGGATAGAACCATGTGGGGTCACGTCCAGACCACATGCCTGGCTAGGGAAGGCAACAGTCAGGAAGCCCACTCCCACAGCACTGGGGTCCCTTCTCTGGAGAGTGAGGACCCTACATGTGGAGGCGCTCACACAGGACTGACTCCCTGGTGGTTGCCCAGGAGATGCCTAAGTATTCCTAGTGCTGAGTTCTAGCACAAGGCTGACAAAGTATATAGCCCCTGGGCCAACAACAGCGTCTGTGTTTTTAAATAGTTAAAAAAAAAAAAAAAAAATCAAAAGAAGAGTACTTCATGAAACATGAAAAGCATATGAAATCCAAATTTCAGAGTCTATAAGAGAGGTTGTGTGGGGACATAGCTAGGCTACATGTGAGTGTCAATCTGAGGCTACTGCCGTGCCACCTACAGGGCAGAGCAACAGGGACCTGCCTCACAGCCACAGAGCCAAACCACCAAGCCCTTTCCTTCCTTTTTATCACAGGTAAGAACCTCCTAAGGACCACTCATTAGTCTTGTGGTACTCACATGATGGCCCAGCCCAGGTAGTTGGCAGTGCTGCCCCAGTACATGGGGTTGTCCAGGACACTGAACGGGAATGTGGTCACCCTGGCTTCCTTGAGTATCCCGAAGTAATCACCTGTGGACAAGGCAGGGCAGGGCAGGAGGTCACTGGGCCATCACCCATCTGGCCCATGTAGGAGTCAGCATTCTAGAAGCCCCAGCAAGTGTGCCCCCACCCCTAGCTAGGAGGCTCCTGCCACAGGGACCAGACATGGCACAAGCTGGTTCAGGATCCTCTGAGGGCTCAGGGGCCCCTCCACCTGCCCTGGAGCCCCAGCCACATTGGCCTTATGGTTCTTCTCACCTCTGTATACCTCCCTACTTTGGGCAACTACTGATCTTACCTCTCCATTCCTTCTCCCTAGGTCACATCTTATCCTTCCAGGGGTCACTTCCTTCCAGAGGACCTTCCTGACTGAAAAGCAGGTCCCACAGCTTGCCCAGCTATGTGGCCTCAGGCGAGTTCCTCTCCCTATGGCTTCAGTTTCCCACCTAATGCAGGGCCCACCAGTATGAATGGGCCATCCCTACCTAGGCAGGCTCAAGCAGCTATCCCAGCCCTATGCACCAACCCCAGCTCCCTGTGTCCTAGGAACACTGAGAACTCTCAAGTGACATCCTCCAGCAGTCTTGGGGAGTTCGGAGGTGGCTGAGGGTGGTCCATAGGCCTGCACACGTGGGAGAAGCCCACTATCTCTGTCTGCCTCCTCTTCCCTTCCCGTTTTCTCTCCTCAGAAAACATTTCCCTGCAGCTGCCCGGCCCAGATGAGCCCCTGGCTGAGGCTGGCTGAGGTATGGTGAGTAGGTTTCAGGCCCCCACAGGTGCCTGTATGACAACAGAGACCAATGGACAGAGGAGGCAAGCAACACTCTTGGATAGCCCTGTCAAGACTGCCCTGCTCACTGAGCTGAAGCCTGACGAGGGAGTGGGCTTGAAGGGGCACAGCACACTATCTACAGTAGCTGTGGGTTCAAGGCTCAGGTCTGCTGTAAGCTTGGTGCATCCTTGGGCAATTCTCTCCCTCTCTTGGGGTCTCAAGGTCCCCATCTGTCAAACAAAAGGTTGGAATCACTATTTCCACCTTAGTCCTAAAATTCTAGGCCCCTGTGAAGTATTCCTCTCCCAGGTAACAGACCATCTGTGAGGCTTGCCCCCCAAGGACTTGAAGTCTCTCTGTCTGCCCCATGCTGTCTCCCAAGGCATCATGAGTCTCTTCTGTGAAAGAGCAGGGAACCCATTAGTAAAAACAGGAAGTAGTCATCCCTTAAGGCTCTCCTTTGGACACAGGAGTTTATGGGAATGAAGCCAGTGATAGTGCAGGTACTCAAAATGCTAGGACTCATGTCAGCAAATTTTCCAGGTAACAGAAACACAATTCTTCCAACACCCAAACCTGCTTCCTATGGTGGTTCTGGATGAAGAACATTCTAGAAAGAATCACATGCACAAACAGAGGCCACAGGATAGCATATCTCCAGCATGTTCTCCTGTGCCTCAGGATCACTGTTTTAAGGATCAGTGACTCTAATAGGCTGTGCAGTTTAGGGGAGGGGGGGGGGCGGCACACCTATGGCCTCAGACCCATGGTTTCTAAATGGTCTGCTGGGTATGGTTTCTCTGCCCCTTCCTTGGTGCCAGCTCTCCTCCTCTCAGAAGCCAGCAGCTCCTGGCTCCCCTGACATGCTACTTCTCTTTGCTGTGGGCTATGACAAGGGTGTGAAGAACAGAACAACTCAGTTTCAAGTGAGACCCAGGGTTCACCCCAACAGAGCCTGTGAGCATGAGGGCCAACTATTCCAGTTTGGACACTACTGGAATATTGAAGACCAAGATGGCAGAGTGAGAAGCTTCATATTCCTGTACCCTCATGAAAACATCAAAAAATAAGAAGAAACTGTTAGAACTAACCTTGTTGGAACTCTGCTGAACATCTGGTGGTTCACAGCCATCAAAACAGTAGGACAGCTTTGTGGCTTTTTGATCCTAACTTGGGTCCCACCCCCACCCCCACCCCCTTGAAGCCACAGCCATGTTTCCAGCTTGGGACCATGGTCCCTAGTTCTGAATGAACAGAGCACAAATGGTTGTGTGTGTCTATTCAAACTTGTCAAGTGCCCACCTAAAGGATGGAAACAGAATGCCTGTTCTGCCCCTCTTGAAGGACAAGGCATTGCAAAGGAAATGAGCCAGAAGCCACCTGGGACAAAAGAGGGCAATTGAGATGTACAGCAGAAAGCTTGAGCCAAGATTTAAAAAAAAAAAAAGAGGCAGGGGAAGCACTTCCCTGGGAAACTGGGGGATTCAAAGTCACCCACGTAAAATCCGGAGAGCCACATGCATGCCAAGGGCAAGACGCATGCTTAGAAAGACCTAACAAAATCCTACACTTTCACCTCAACCTGATCCTTATGCTCAGTGTAAGTCTGGCTAAGTATTGAGGAAAGCCCCAGCACAGAGCCAGTCTACAAAGACAGCAAGAGGTGGGGTTCCCCCCCCCCTATTTTTTCCTTTCCTTTTTTTCTATTTAAATCCTGGTATTCAAAGAAGTCTCTGTCAGAACACTACATGAACAATAGCTAAAGAAACAGAGTCAACACATGCTTCAAAGAATCCAGCCTTTACAAAAATAGTCTGGAAAAGTCACTAAACCAATAGATTATTATAATCTTCAACAATAAAAAGGAACAAAATGGGGAGAATCTGATTTCCAGAGTTATCACATTATATTATTTAAACGTCCCATTTAAAACACAAACCACAAGGCATTCAGAGAGACACTGAAGGTTCACCCATTCAAAGGAACAAAATAAAGTGACAGAATCCCCCTCCCCCGAGGTAGCTCAGATACTGGACTTACAAGATAAAGATTTTAAAATAACTCTATTAAATGTATCCAAAGGGTTAAAGGAAAATATAGACAGAGAACTAAAGAAAACAAGGTATGAACAAAATGAGAATATCAAATAAAGAGAGAAATTATAAAAAGAAACCAAATAGAAATTCTGGAGCTAAAAAGTACAATAACTGAAATGAAAAACTGACTAATGGGGTTCAACAGCAGATCTGAGTTGGAGGATGCAAGAACCAGCAAACTGGAGAACAGGACAATCGAAATGATAGAGCCTAGGAGCAGAAAGAAAAAAAGAATAAAGAGAAACTTGTATTGATAATTACTCATGACTGGAACACAAATGTTTACCTGGAAAATATGGCATTGGTGATAGGAATGATAATGCCAGAGATTGTGTGATAAAATTCTGCAAGACCAATGATTTTATTCACTGGAAATACTTTTTTTCAACAATACAGACAATGACTATACACAGGGCCCTTCCTGGATACACAGGGATCAAAAGAAGCAGCTCAAATTTGTCAGTAAAGACAAAGGCAAGGGCTGATTATGAAAGAGGTCATCAATTGCTCATATGCAAATTCAAGATGATGCTGAAAAAATCAAAGCAAGTCCACAAAAGACAAAAAATGACCTTAAATATATCCCATCTGAATTTAGATGAATATTTAAACAATCTATTTAAAGCATAGGAGCTCTGGTAGTGTAGTGCCTAAGGCCTTTGACCGCTAACCAGAAGGCTGGCAGTTCAAACCCACCAGCAACTCCTCGGAAGGAAGGTTGGGCAATCTACTTTCAGAGTGACACTGCCTTGGAAACCCAAGGAGGCGTCACTATGAGTCGGGTCCAACTCGACGGCACATAACAACAACATTTAAAGCACAAATTCAACACATTGAACGTAAATGATCAATGACCAGAAGAGGTATGGGATGATATCAAGGGCACACATGAAGAAAGTAAAAAAGAATTGAAAAGACAGGGAAAAAAAAAAAAAAACCAAAATGGATGTCAGAAGACTATGAAAATTGCTCTTAAGTGTAGAGTAGTTAAGCAAACAGAAGAAATGATGAAGTAAAAGAGCTGAACAAAAAATTTCAAAGGATAGCTCAAGGAGACAAGCTAAAGTATTACAATAAAATATGCAAAAACCTGGAGTTACATGATTGGCATTTCTAAAACTGAAAGAACTGAAGAAAAATTTTAACCTCAAGTTACAATACTGAAGGACTCTACGGACAAAAAAAAATTGAATGATGCAAAAATCAAAAAGCATCAAAAGAAGAAGGAAAGAATATACAAAGTCATTGTACAAAAAAAAAAAAAGAAAGAAAGAAAGAAAGAAAAGAAATTGGTCAGCATTCAATCATTTTGGGAGGTAGCATATGACCAAGACCTGCTGGTACAGAAGAAGGAAGTTTAAGCTGTACTAAAGGCACAGGTAAGAAACAAGGCTCTAGGAGCTCACAGAAGACCAACTGAGATGTTTTAACAAATGCATGCAATACTGGAAGCACTTACTCATCTATGTCAAGAAATTTGGAAGACAGCTATCTGAGCAACCAACTAAAAGAAATAGACCATTTGTACCCACTCCAAAAAAAAAGCTGAGCAAATAAAAGATGGAAATTATTGATCAATATCATTATCTCACATGCTAACAAAATGCTGCTGAAGATAATTTAAAAACAGCTGCAGCCCACATACAGTACTGCATTGTCAGTGAAGGCAAACACTGATCTACGGGTGGATAGATGGGTGGACAGGCTGAACTATTAGGTATGTCTATGCAGGGGGGTGGAAGGAAGGTTGTGCAATCTACTTCCATAGTGATACTGCCTCGGAACCCAAGGAGGGTCCCTATGAGTCGGCCCTGACTTGACAGCACAACAACAACAACATGCAGGGAGGAGTGTGTCCATGACCATGTATAGGGTTGGCAGTCAATGTTTCTATAAGTGTATTGGTATGTATGTTCTGTAAGAATTCCCAGGTATGTAATAGAGCTGACAAAGTTTTAGTCACTTCTTGGCCACAGCCAGCTATCCAGAGGGAGCAAGTAGTTGGACCCGTGGGCTCAGGACCATACTCACTGGGGACATCAAGCTCAATTGGCATAACATACTACACAAAACACTGTTCCACATCCTACTTTGGCGAGTAGCAACTGGGATCTTAAAAGCTTGCAAGCGGGCATCTAGATGCAACAATGGGCCTCTCCTTA